AAAAGTGTGTAATGATGTCAATACATGGAGCCAATTAGAAACTCAAGCTCTCACGAACTGTGTTTCACAGCGAAAGCTGAGAAACGAACAGATTTTTTTCCCTTCTCTCTGGGGAATTTTTGTTCTCTGACATCTGTGTCTCTGTCTCTTCTGCTCCAGGGTGAGGCAAAGCATCTTCACTCCATCACCCCCATCCTCCCCCCCTCTTCAACATCAGCCTGCTTTTACTCCTCTGCTACCTTTTCATCCTCTGTGCATCTCATCCAGTGCTGTCGAGCCATTGTTACTCTGTATAACCATATTAACCTGATAAAACTGTCCACATCCTCTCTCTTTTATGATCATGAATAGAAAAACTGAAGTTTTGATCTCAACTTTGGGACTGTTTTTTTTAGAACATAAGATGTGTCAATCTTTTTTTATTAAAAAAACATTTAAATCTCTTGCAAGTTCTCTTCGTCTGTCCCTCCCTCTCTCTCTTTCGCTCTCCCCTTCTGTAGACATTGGGCTGCAGCTAGGGACATGCAAGCCTCAGGGTGCAATATGGCCCATTTAATGTCCGCAGAGACAGAGAAAGTAAAAAAAACAACAGGAATGTGGTGTGTAGTAATGCAATTAACACCTATTTAAAAAAACACCAGAAAAAAAAAAGAAATAATAAAAGAGATGACTCTGGGAATTAATTTCTAAAAAATCTCAAAAACGAAGTTGAATGTCTTTTTGTATGTATGATATGTTTTTGAGAGCATGTCACTTTCTATTTTTGCATCTGACCCCCCCAATCCGCCTCAACATCACCCGCTCCACCTCTCAGCAGGGTCAGATGGCCGCACTAACTTTTCATGGCAAGTGCTGCAATGCACAAAGCTGCTGCTCACAAACACAATTACCGGGAATATTCTTTAATATTTTGTTATGAAGTTCCGAAACCTTTTGTAAAACCAAATGAAAGACTGAGATAGTCGAGGATAAAAGATGCAAACAAATGCATTAACTTTCCGCTTTTTTGAAAAGAAAGTATATCATATGCATTTTGACAAATATCAAAATTTCGATGCTATTCTCATAGTTTTTATACAAAGTACTTTTGAAGTAGAAACACACACAAAGCTGACTTACACATCTTGCACTGTATTCAGTGACATGGGGCAGTTACTTGCTGTGTCTCTGATCAACCTCGTCCCCAGTTGAAGTTTAGTATTACTGAAAGATTAATCAGCTGGGTGAATTATTAACAACAAAGCAGCTTGGGGCCTACAAGGTGAAGAAAGAGCTCCCTCATCTGAATCATCACAACATTGTGCCAACTCATCTAATGAGCACTTTCTGTAGGATGTGATATCAACACTACGGCATTACAATCAGGATCACATGGAACCGACACAAACTCAGAAGCTGATACTTTGACAAAGTTCAGACTAAAGCCTTGCTGTCATCAATAGACGGATACGACAATTAACTTTAACAGATCAACACAACCAATAATCAAGTTTCAATTTCTGTGATCACGTCTCGCAGGTTTGCAATGTAGCTCCTATCGTCACGCGATGTGATAATGTATATTATCCAAAATTGCTGGACCATGTATAATGGAAATATTCATAATGAGGCCAAACCATCATGTTCAGCTGAGTTTACATAACACTTATTGTAGAATCTGCCCAATTATTGTGGACAGTAGAGTTCAATAGGACAGATAGTTTCACAGTAACATTGTGAGAGATTATTATGTCCTGTGCATCATCTTGAGCTGTAAACCTGTCTGTAAACTGCAGCGGATCATGACGGACAAATATCTTATAGTCTTTATATAACGTTGTCGATTTATCAACAATACTCAACTCCAACCAATGTGAGGACCCACTAGCCGGTAAAGATCACCATCATCATCCTTTAAACATAAAGAGACAATTTATTTTGGAAGTGGTCGCAGAGTTGAAATGTAACATTTGTTGTAGCCAAATTAGTTCGAAGAATTAAAACGATCAGCCACTAGAAAGTCTAAAGACTGTCAAAACAAAGCGTCCATTTTCTTGAAATGACTTTGGATGGACTTTGGATGAGTGGGTATAAGGACATTATGACGCGTTCATGAGCTTATTTCCATCAGCCACAGCTGTATGAGGGAGGTGTTAATTCCTTTGAGCTTAAACTGCTTAATTTCCACCCACTCCAATAATGGTTTCATCACAGTAAATGGAGGGCTGCTGCCAGTTCAATCAGTGTTACTGTTACCAGACCCAGCAGGTGTGTTTCACTTTGAATGTGGTGAAAGGTGGGAAATAAAGTCTACTGCAACTTACTAGTGAATGTGTCTTCATGAAGAACAAATATAGTAAATGCAGCTCTGATTCAAAGCACAATTGTTATATAAAGAGTAGCAAAAGGTGGATTAAAAGCAGTAATTGGCATGAAAATGTAGTGCATAATATTGTTCTTATATAGTGTTCAATAGTCTGTGTTTTAACTGTTCAAATGTACTGCAACAAGACAGTTTCATAAGTGTACTGCACTGAAGTGACAGGAGTGTATTTTTGAAATCATGCATTATCTATGAATTCAGTGTGTAATACAAGCTTCATTTCACTCTCCCTTTAAAGCCAAACTGCTTCTGTCCGAATGAGGTAGAAGTCTGAGGGACCAAACAAAGACATCAAACCTGTTGACTTGATAATGTTTCAGTTCAGGAGCAAAGAGGTTTGCTACTGAAAATATGCACACTGTCTCCCTCTTGTGTTGAAGTTGTGACCGGCCAGAAGCAGCACTGGACAGGAAGCCTTTAAATCACATCAACATGCTCTCCTCCACCATTGAAAAAAATCCTGCCAAGGTTACAGGCAAGATTACTGTTGACCGGTAATATTAGTTAATTAAGGCAACTTATTGTATAATGAGATTTAATTCAAGATACTGATGTTAAGTTACTGTAAATAATGGCAAGGACAAAGCAGCTGACTCTCATGAAAATGGGCTCATATGGGTCCCCAGGGTTTGGCCCCGGCTGAGGGTCAGCACCGGGGACGGTCGATGCGAGAGCACATTCAGCACCTCGGCCAGCGACCGCCACTTCAGACAGTGGCGCAGAGGACACTGGAATTACTGTGTGTAGGATCAGCCTTCATAAAACAATGTACGAATTGATCTGACCGCTGTGTTGCCTTCTGAACCTCACACACTTTATACACACACACACTATGTATATCACATAGAGAGCTTTCCAGCACAGACTCTGACACATCGAGTCAACTCGTTGGTCAAGATACAGCAGCACCTTCCAGATCATTCAAATAGATCACATAGTGTTTACTATTCTTCCTCACAGTGTGTGATCAATCAGCTGTTGGATCATCAGATTGGCTTTCCTCCATCCTGGCAGGCAGACCTGGTAATCTACCAGCCCACAAGCTCAGTCGTGTTGTCCTCTGCTGCAGTCCCCTGCAGGGATGGAATTCAACATGTTTGGGTGGAGCTTTTGTGGTTTCAGTGCTAACTTTACTGAATCACTAGCTGAAATTAAAATCAGTCAAGTTGGAGATGGTTCGTCTGAGCTGATGGCAGCTGTGTTGTTCTCTGTCTGGGGTCGTGTCACTTAAGGGTAGACTGGCCATCTGGGGAATCAGAGGATTTGGGCTCATCAATATCAAAACACAGAAAGAAACGACCCTTGGCCAGACAATGTTTTCTTTGATGTGAAGTAAATGTGAACACTGATGGCAAAAGTAATTATTTTATTCTATTTTGAATTCAAACACATAAGCCCAGGGTCTCAAATCCAGTTTCTTCCCTAATGCACCTAATTTGAGATTCTACTCATCAACGGATGGGTGATTTGTCCCGTGATATAATTTAGTAATTATTTAGTGAAACAACCACGTTACAGTGACATTTAAAATCAAGCACAAAAGGCACAGGTGCATTTCGTTTTACTGCCTCTGGCACTTTTGGCACGCTTCACATACTACACACCCATCATTATCCCCAACATATAACATAACCCTTCTCTAACTCATATGCTCTTCCACTTTTACCCAAAATGCGTCTGTCTTATACAACAAACACCTTTGTAGCGCAGATGTCTTTATTTAAGGATCCCTATTTCAGGGAGGCATGGTAATGCATTAACATTACAGGCTTCACCTCTTTAAGTCCACATTGTTTGATTGATTTATTAATGAATTGATCAAGTTTGATAAGGTGAGAAAGTAGAAATGGAACTTTGAGTTAGTTAGAGTTAGAAAGTTAGAAAACATGTTAAGGACTGAGGTTTCAGTTTAGTTTTTAAGAGTTGCTGCATCAGAAGACGTTGTCTACTCACTGAAATGATTCAGAAAATATTTGTGAACAATATTGTTCATGATTCTGTGATTAACAAAACTTTATACGAGCATTTACTTTTGACAAAGTCATTGACATCACAATACCAAACGGAGAAACAATATGTTGCTTGATTCACATGGTTTTTAGGCTAATGCGTTGTTGTAGACTCTGAAAAATGTAAAACTATAAACCAACGTACAATGTATGCCCCAATGTCTAGCTGATAAGAAACAGTGAGGTCTGATGATTTAAATTAAAATCTAATGTGACCATTTAAATGTCTTGCAAGGAATATTGTATGTGGTAAATATTGAAGCCACTGAACAGTTCAAATGACCAAAATGGAAGTATGTTAAACTTCAACACATAGCAGCCTGGTGTGGTCTCTGTTTTGGCCACAGTTCAAAGGCTCCTGTTTCCACTTTGTCACGTCCAGATGAACATGTAATGGTACAGCATACAGCAGGGATTGGGCTGTGTTTCCTGATACTGTGGGTTAGTGAGAAACATGTAACTGCAGGGAAAAGGCAAGACGGTGTGCAGAAGTTGTCTGGAACTGATAAAACTAATTTTTTTTCTTTCAAACGTTACGCAATGACTAATTAAAGCACTGATAACTGGGAATACCCGGACGTCATGGTTATTCCAGCAGGGTTTGGGGAAATGAGCGTGGGATGTTGAAGAAACACTTTGATCATTCTAGTGACTCCGTCCCTCTGCTTTCCACTTTCACCTCCGCACAATAGCCAGTTGGTGCAGGGAGGGGTAAAACGCACGTTCAGGATTAGACCGTGTTCAGACAGAGCGTTTGTGCGCGCTGAGTGGCTGCAGCAACAGTTTCCCCTTCAACACAAAGTTTCTTCAATGACTAAGTACAAGCCCTGGCTGGTGTGCTGCTTCATCTTTGCTGGTTTAATCAGTGCGGTTGCTCTGGTCTTACTATGCATCGTCTCAATAGTGGACAGAGAGTGTCCCAGCGGCAGCTTTACGCACGCGGCTGTGTCTGCAGACTCGCTCCGTTGCTCCGAGATTGGCAGGTGAGTCCCTTTCTAAAAAAGTAAAAGTGAGTTATTTGACCTGAGTTTGGCTTAACACATCAGCTAAAACCTTGACATTAAAGTGTGAAAAGTTTTTTTTTCTTTTTGGGGGTAATTCAGATGTTGATTAAGTTGTGTGTTCTTATAGATATGCAGTATTCCCATCACATGTTTCTTAATTTACAGAAATTATTTGAGTTATTCAGTACTCTGTATGCTATCAGGACACCTCCCAGCTCATGTAGGTGAGATGAAAAGCTGAACTGAGCAAATGGATAAGCAGTTTAAGAGATTTGATAGGCTTGAAGAATGGAGATAATGCCTGCAAGAATGTGTACAGACAGGCCCTGACTTCCATCGCCTCTTGTTGATTAATTTCCAAGCTTAATCTTTAATCTTTTAAAAGTGAGGGGAATAGACTTATCTCTTTGCAGTCATTTGTTCAGTGGTGAGCATGGACTCCACCAATCTGTCATCATGAAAAATGAAGCGTAGGTGTTTGTTTTTAATCGCTTGAATGTGCATGAATTCTGTGCCGCAGTTGCAGTACAAAGAGAGTGTCTCTAAACTTCACTTTTCCAAACTCACTAATCACCCTAAGCTACTGTAAATACCATCTAAAGTATGGAGGCTTAAAAAACACACATATACAAATAAAAATCACCACATTAGTATAGACCTGTAGAATTTTCCAAAAAAGTATTAGTTTATGACATCTTCTGTATAAAGACATAACCAGTGTCAGTCTACACATGTTTCATATGAGAATCATTACATTAGATTCTTCAAATTAGATTTGAGTCTCTTATTACTCCTCCTGATGCCTTTTCCTTAGTTGAACCCAAACTACAAAGTTGGCTTGACCCTACCAGAGCCAAAACATTCCTGTCACTGCCTTTTCTTGTCGCTCACTGAACACATCTGTGCCCATGGCAGCCGCTCTGCGAAAAGACCCAAAACAGAGCTTTCAGAGCCGGTCCAGACTTAATAAGCTGTTTTGTAGTATAAAGAAGTTGGATGAGCCTCATTAAAACAAATGAGTTGTTATTTTTAAGGAGACAGTTTTAGTAGAGAGTCAAGTTTAAAAAAAACAAAATGCACCTCTGTGACCAGCGTCTTCCTGGTATGTTGCCTAAAAACTTCCAGCATCAGTACATAGTTTAAACTTGCCTCTTGGCAGCACTCTGATACTTTGAAACCCTGAAATACTGCACCGCCAGGTGATGCGTGCAGCTATCCAAAAATGTGCACACATGTGTCTGTGGGTGGGCAAATATGTAATGAGTAGTCAGGGAGTGTGTGACTAACTGTGTGTTCACACATTTCCCAAAAATAAAAGTGAAAATGACTAGGAAGATGTTTTCCAGGAGCATGCTCAAGCAAGGGGGGTCGGCAGTAGATGGCGCCATTGCAGCTCTTCTGTGCACATCGGTGGTCAATCCTCAGAGCATGGGGATTGGAGGAGGATCTATAATGACCATAAGAAATAAAAAAGGTGGGGTCTTCTTGTTCATTTGTGTGACCCCAAATGATAAGGATGGAGTTGGCCGATCATTCTAATTGCTTATCTCTTCTCAGGCAATGTTAAAGTCTACAACTTCAGAGAGACTGTCCCAAAGTCTTTTAAAAGTAACCTGTTAGATGACTGTCAGACCACATCCATACTGATCACAGGTAGGCAGACTTCTCCCTCGGTGTAAAGTAGCTTATAACACTTTTCATACCTATGCTTCTTTTCTGAAGGCTCATTTTCAAGCTCTTTTTGCTTTCAGTCCAGTAGAAGTTAGGGGGAACACTTTATTTACCCTCTTACATAATATTTATAAGAACTACATACATGTTAAATAAAAGGTTTGCACTGTTTCCCACCTGTACATTGTAGGCAGCCAATGGATCGGCGTTCCCGGAGAGCTGCGTGGCTACGAGGCAGTTCACAAAGAGTATGGGAAGCTGCCTTGGGCCAAGCTGTTTGAGCCGACAATTAAACTGGCCAGAGAGGGCATCAATCTGCCGCCGATTCTGGGAAAGCTTCTGGAGTACCATATTGTGAAAAATTACGTGGAGAATTCATCTCTCTGGTACGCCATCTCATTATCTCTTTATAGTGACGGAGAGCTTTTAAAGGTCTCCAAAAATGTCAACAAACATGTTACTTGTAGAGTATCTACTGTGGAGCGACACTGATAATAACTGTTTGAGGGCACTGATGAACTAGCACTGGAGCCTTTACTCATAGGTGTGTCACTGCCGAAATCCTATATTTATATTCAAAAAGCAGAAGGCTGAACACTATTGCTCCTAGCATAATATTTTAGAGGCAGGATTTAGTGACCCAGAGATGAAATCTGTGTCCATCTTCTTTCATAAATGTTTATGTGAAATGTTGCTTCACCCAAAAGCAAGATTTAAAAACAAGTTAGCCGGGAGTTAAGTGTGTTGTGAAAAGCCTGAGAGTGTGTTTGCTTCCTCTCTGCCTCTGTAAACATGTGCGTGCAGAAATAAACTCCTGTAGAACATTTGAGAATATTAATTAATAAGTATGATTATGCGCAAAAGATGTATGTGATATATTATTGATTGCAGTAAATGTCACTCTTTGGAAGCAAAGTAGCCCAGAGAGGTCACAAATCGGCCAAATGATGATGTGCAACATGAGTATCTCTCAGTGTATTCTCTTTATACTTCCTGTGTAATAATAAGGTCTAACGTGGTCTTTTATGTCAATACTTTTCACAGTGAAGTTTTGTGCAACAAAAACAAAACAGTTCTGAGCACAGGAGACATTCTGAAGTTTCCTAAACTTGCAGAAACAATGGAAACAATTGCAGAGCAAGGGGCAGATGCCTTCTACACGGGCAAGATAGGACAGGACTTAATCCGAGACATAAAAGATGCAGGTTGGTGCAATTTCACAATAAGTCGGGCAAGTTGGGGGTGTACACATGAATAAACAGAAAAAGAACACATGCCTGTATGTAATGTAGAAGAAGAAGAAGTAGAGAGGTAAAGAGGATTTTAGATAAACAAGTTGTTTTTATATTCTTCCTTCTTCTTAGGTGGGACTTTGGAAATGGAGGATCTGAAGTCCTTCCAAGTGCGTGTGCAGGATGCATGGAAAGTTGCTGTGGGAGACACAACGTTGCACGTCCCTCCACCACCTGCCGGGGGCCCCCTGCTTGCCTTCATTCTCAGGCTGATGAAAGGTTTCATGAACTGTTAAAAGACTGTCTTGTGATCCCTTAAACTGACCAACTGCAGCAGTTGAAATTGAATTCTAGCGTCCGAATTATGAAAAGATTGTAGCGCGTACTCATTTTAAAGTCGGTTGTTCTCCTTTTTCCACAGGCTTCCCCTTGTCTCCAAACTCGCTGGTTGGTGACCAGAAGATCCAGACATACCATCGATATATCGAGGCAGCTAAATTTACTAATGGACAAAAGAGGAGCATTAGTGATCCTGTCTTTAATGACAAAAAGGTTCGGATCTTCATTATTCTCAAAAGGCCATGATCATATCTCATTAGCTGCACTAATCTTATTAAGGATTAAAAAAGTGACATTGAGATGAGTTGAATTATCTCCTGATTCAGCAGTTCCCGTCCTCTCTAAGCAGCGTTTTAGCGTCTTGCACCTCATTGTTTTGGTTTGACGTCCTGCAACTTCACTGTTTTATTACTATTCTAATCAACTATTTCTAAAGCTCTGATAAACCCGCTGTACACCACCTGCCAGGCATCAAATGGTAGACAGACAAATACCATAGCTGGTGGAACATTAAGCTGCTAAAGAGCAGATATTTCCCTCTGGAGTTGATGGAGAACAAAACACAGAGCTGAAAGGAGAGTGAATATTGGATTTACATTTGCCAGGTAGACAGAAACACAACCCCAAATAAGTGTTTTTTCATGTCAGCTGGGAGTGTAAATAGTTTACTTTATTACATGTATTTGTCTGCCACCATGTACAAAAACCCTCATATGAAGAGAAGAGATTTATTGTGCCAGATGCGGTCCCTGTAGGTCGACACAAACACTAACACTACTAAAGAAATCAATGACTGTAGATTTAATCAACAACAAAACAATGTCCGGTGCCCAAGTGGTGAAAGTAAAAGTTTGCCATTTTTGTAGGTATGCTTTTGTGAGTGTTAGATGAAAAGATTGATACCCATGCACTTAAAAAGGTGTAAATCTTCTCATTACAACTCTCGGCAAGAAAATGTTCCTTTCAGATATGTTCCATATAACTGCGTCTTTGGTTTAATTCCAGCTGTTAAACACCGCTCTCTCTCCCCCCACGCTTCTTCTTTTTATCTAAGATGTCCAATTAAGGCAAAATGGGCAAAAAAATCAACAATCTTAAAAAAGTTTAGAAACAAAGCAAACCCCAGAAGAGAAAGAAAGAAACCCCAGCAGTATACAGAGTGTTATTATATCCTTTTTTCAGTCCTAATATGATGTTCTTCTTTCAGAGTGCAGATCATTTGATTGATCCCGCCTTCATTAATCGCATCAGGGACATGATCTTTTCCAACCGCACCCATGACAACGCTTCCTACTACAATGTCAAGCCCTCCCGTGACCACGTGGGGACGACACACGTGTCCATCCTGGATGAAGATGGACTGGCCGTCTCTGCAACCAGCACCATAAACCAGTTGTGAGCAGGAAGCCTCTTTAAGTTGAATATTTCTGTATCTCCCTAAAATTATATCAAATCTACAATGATATAATAATTAACCGCTCAGTCTGCTATGTTTTTCTTTTGTAGATTCGGAGGAGGCATTTACTCTCCACGAACAGGCATCATCCTCAACAATGAGCTGAGTGACTTCTGTGGGAGAGCCGACACCGTGAGGGCAGGTACAGTCACGGACATCAACACGGACTTTGATCCTGCGATAACTGAATTAAAGATAAACATCATTCTAATTTAATTGTTATCACAGGTGAGCAGCCTCCTTCCTCAATGATTCCAGTAATACTGGAGACAAAGTCTGGAGGACTCCTTGTGATTGGTGGATCAGGAGGAAGCATGATTACCTCAGCAGTGGCCTTGGTAACTCCATTGAACTCTGTTTGCATACTTGTTTCTCTGCTTTCTCATTTTGTTTGCTTACATGATTCTCCTTTATTCTTGCAGTCTATAATAAATCGCCTGTGGCTCGGGATGTGTCTGAAAGACGCCATTGCTGCACCTATAATGTTTGTGGATTCTAGCAACAATGTGAATTTTGAGCCTGGTTTTAACAAGGTGAGACACTCGTGTTCTCATCCCGCTGTCCATTAATGACATTCAAATTCATCAGACTGTGACCGTCTATCTAATGAATAACATTTCTATGTATGTTAAAGGATTCTGACGGAGATTACCATATCATAATAAGTCTGAATCATTTTACCGGTAATCAATTTTGAAACCTAAATACATGGTATTAATTTGTGTGCGTGTGTTTTGTGTGCCCTCAGTCTGTGATAGACGGCCTCGGGGAGCTTGGACACAAGTCAGGGGCCTGGCCATACTTCTTCAATGTAGTCAATGCTGTGGAAAAGGAGAATGGATGCATCGTGGCCGTGTCGGACAGCAGGAAGGACGGGATGTCAGCTGGATACTGACCACACAGACCATGAGGAAGAAATCTGCCCTTAAAGACTGACTGAACCTTTAGCCTTAAGAACATTGAATGTGCCAACAACAAAATGTGAGAAATGCAGTGCTCAGGCTTTTTTTCTGGTGAGCCACACAATCAGTCAAGAAACTAACAACCTTAGAAGATGATACCGGTTTATAATAACTTGGTTTTATTTTTATATGAGCGTGTTGTTTAAACAACATTGTATTCACTGTAGTAAATGCAGAGATTTTGTAAGTTTTTGGAAGTTATCTAAACCACTTTGTTTGGAGGTAAACTCAAAGTTTCCATCCAAATGTTGCTAATTAATGCAATGTCTTTGCGATATCTTGATTGTTTTTTAATGTCCAGGGTTTCCACTGCTGAGTGCATCAGAGATATCAGTAATAATCCCTTTTTGGACAAGTCAACTGTGTGCATGCACAACTACGACAAGTACATTAAGTCATAGATGAACCATAAAGTCGGTCTGTTAGAAACAGGCATTTTCAATCCAGCCAGACATCACACACATTCACACACACACACACACACACACACACACACACACACACACACACACATCCTCATGACATTCCACCTGAATGCTGTAGTCTAACTCACAGTAAGCACACCATGAGGCTGCTAATCTTACTGATGAGATCTGCTTTTATTTGCTGCAGGATTGCACACTCGTGTACATTTGCAGCAGCGAGCCATAAAGGCAATTCTACAGTGGTCCAACAAAACAAAACCAACGGCTGTATCACACCACGTCTAATGTCAATGCCTGTTTAATTTCCTGACTGAACTTTGTAATTCTGAGAAAGAACTGTTTATTGTAAATGAGCCATGAAACCCATTTTAAAGTGACGTCCTCACTTTACTGTGACCTTACATATTTTACTGTATGTGAAACGACTCTATTCATGTCCCTGAGCATGTTGTGATGTTTGTTTGAACTAAATTATCTAAAAAAACATACGCGTATTTTAACACCACCAACATGTTATTTTGTATTTTCTCCTGATTTTGTTACGTCAAAATGCTTTGTAAAATAATTACACATTTTTTACAACTATTAACAGTGAATATCCGTGTTGTCACAATAAAAGATAAAATCCAAACAAAGACGAGTTACCGCATGTCTGACGTACTTTTCAACCACAAACCCGAAACCGTGTTTGAGCTCGTACTTCGTTCAACCCAAAAACTTTCAATATGCTTTTCACTGCAAACTACAGCTATTTAAACATTGATCTGTTGTTGTCATTGCAGTATGATCAGCAATAATCTGCCTCATGTTTTCCTGTTGGCCTTGTTTCAAAGCAGCACTTCTGCTCTGAGACAAAGGACGCAGTAATGAGATACATTTCAGGAGAGAGACTTATGAATTACTAATGAATTCTTAAGTGGATTCGGCTCCGTTTTCCTTTGAGGCAGTAGATGTGAGTTATGAGAAGATGCAAATGTTAGCCTGTGTGAGGCACCACTGTCTTTGTTGTATGACAAATGAGTTAATCTGGAGAAGTTGTGACTTCATAGCTTCGTGATATGACCCTCTTTGTATGATTCACAGCCGTTTAAAGCATCATTTTACACTATGCAGAAAATGTTCTTTCACTCAAAGCAGCAGCAGCTAAATAATCCAGTGATGACTTATGACTTTCACTGTTCGCACACTTTTAAGTCACAAAGCCCCTTGATGAAGCAAATTATCGCAACAGTTACTTATTTTATGTTATTATAGACGCATTTGTGTTCCTCATTATTTTGTAACCATCATGATGCCATTTATGGCAGCGGGTCGAGTTAAGACCACACAGACTGATATACACAGATTCTTTAATGCCTAAAGGGTAAACAAATATTCAGAGTTGCATAACTCTGAAGTTCATTATAACTATGTGGAAGCGAGATTGTGCTTAATTGGGCCTTAAAGGGAAATTCTAGTGTGACGTGCTCATTTCCGTGCTCTTCATCTAAATAATTGTAACCACGCCTGGTAATGCAACTGAAGATATATTCATATATATTTTGCAGGACGGATTGGTGGACTTCAGGGCTAAGACACACAGCCTGCAATATTGATGTAGTCATTAGATACAGTCTTTCATCCCCCTCTCTCCCCAAATGTCCTGCCACTCTATGCTGTGAATAAAGGCCAGAACACTTGAGACACTTGAATCTGACAGGATGTTACAAGTCAGCTGGAAGCCACACAGCTGATGGCTGAGTCATCATGATTAATGCTTTAATTGACTCCAGTGCTCTGCCTGAACAGATGCTTTGATCGAGTCATGGCTCCGTAAGAAACACAACAAAAGGAAAAGGAATTTCATGTTAGCATAGCTGTATGGCGCTAGGGACGACAATGTTGGTCGCTCCACTACTTTGGTCCAGAATTAAATATCTGGATGGATTGCCCAAAAACTTTGTACAACATTCATAGTCCCAGAGGATGAATCCTACTGACTTTGGTGATCCCAAAGTTTTTATTTAGCCTCACTTTGTCCAATACTTTAGTTTATGACCAAATAAACTGACTGCCTCAGCTGTGCTTTGTGTTTAGTGCCAATATGGCAAAAGTTATCATGCTGAACTAAACAAAGAAAACAATACCTGTTGAGCATCAGCATGTTAACATCTTCTCCTTGAGCATTTTATCTGCTGACATTAGCATATAGCACAGAGCTATGCCTACGTACTCACAGAGCTAATAGCATGGCTGTAAACTCTTAGTATTATTAACCATTCGCTTGCTGTTGGTGCTCTGTAGCTTTGTGAGGACCCCACGTCTGTCAAGTAAAATGAATGAGATTAAAGCCTGAGAACCAAGAACCATGAGACTTTTCTACAGTGTTTTAATAATTAATAATTACAGTATCTGCATTTCAAGTGAAAATCTAGAAATAGAAAACATCTACAAAATCTGCTTCATCAATTTGATAAAAACAAATCATTAAAATTACAAAATAAATGATCTATTCACACCGAGATTATCCTTCATTTGTTTTTAAATAAATACATGTGTTGTTTAACCACTTAATATTACAACAGTTTTTATCACATATGAACCAGTCATTTGTAGCAAAAAGTCGATAAAGGCAGAATCATTTTACACTTTTATGCACGTCAGTAATTATGTAACACATTTACATTCCAGCTGAGAAAAGAAGAGCCCTGAATCCCAGCAGTGACAGTGAGCAGCAACAGCTGCAATGTTATTATGGGGTCATTACAGGCCGTTGCACTCTGGGTTGTGGGAAATTACTTTAGTCATTAACTAGGACAGTTTATCAGCCCCTGAGGTGTGATAGTCCTTGATTTTAACAGCATCTCATGCCTGCTCTTCCTGTGTTTGCTATCATCCCATATGAACGGTTCTGGTGAAATTTGTTAAAGTTTTAAATGACTAAAAACTCATTTGAGGTCTGTTACTTTGGGTTGATTTTTTCTGTGGATATATCCTTAATTAAGACTTCAGATTTTTGCAATTGCTCACATCACATCTTTAATGGACAATAACTACGGGAAACGGCTTTATGCTGCTAATGATTTACAAAAGTGCTTCATCAATAGTTAGAAATTATGACCGACACTGATGGTAAAGCTATCCTTTAAAATTACATCCAATGGCTTGTGCATTTCTTAATTACATGAAATGATGAAGTGACATAGAAATGCATGAGACATGAGCGTCAATATTCCGAATTAATTTCAGACTGAGGCACTTTTCTTTGGTCATAAACGAGCAAAAAGTCAATCTGTTATCAGAGTTGCATTGTTATGCAGCACATGAAGGTTATTCTAACTGAATGAGAGACCAAATGACGTTCCTAGTTCTTTATTAAGTCTTTGATCTCTCAGCTCCTACCTCTGGGGTCAAGGTTCACATGGACAAAAGTCTCTCTGCACAGTCAGAGGTGTGTGTATGACCTCAGTACCCTGCGGCGTACGCCCACTTGCGAGGATCCGAATTAGCGTGGAGTCCGTCTTCATAGCAAACCACCGCCTGCACCACAGCTCCTGTTGATTTGAGGAACTCTGTCTCATGGTTCTTTAATGCCAAACCAGCCAGGATGCTCTGCAAACAGGAGCATATATGAAGGCTCCATGCAAACCAAGGAGAACTGAATAGGTGCATGTACGATCTGTTTATCACACAGCAGGGTTCAACAACACTGTGTTTCCAAAGTTCCTCAGGGTCTTCCTGTTACTGTGTTAACCATTTTGATAAAAGCGGAACGACGCCCTTTTTGATAATTCATGTTGAGTTACGTCTGTGAAAACAACTTTATAAGCAAAACATCTGAAAACACTGAACTTGTGGTGCGCTGCCTGCCACACATTACATTACAGACATTTAGCAGACACTGTCATCCAAAGCAACTTACAATTCAGATTATATTACATTCATACACCGTAGGCACAGCTACGGGAGCAATTTTGGGATTAATTGTCTTGCTCTTCGACATGCGACTAACAGAGCCAGAGCCGGGGATCAAACCACCAACCCTCTGATTGAAGGACGGCCCTGCTCTCCACTTAGCCACAGTCGGATGTCAATCGATGGGATGTTAAAATCACATTAAATTGAACTTTACATCTCAGTGAAATAACCAAATCAGAAGGTAAATTCTCCAACTTCTATTCTTCTATTCATTTCTGACCACAAACTAGACTTTTACCAGTGCTGAAACATTTTTCTCCTTGTTCTCCACATCCCTGAAGGTAAATATAATGAACAGTGTCCGGGGGTGCCGGTCACGACTGAGGTACTGTATCACTGCTCAGTGGTAGCCGGGCTTCTGGTTGAGGGATTGTCTCCCTACACACCACACCACCCTACCCTGCCATTAGTCACATACAGTACATCAGTATTGTTTGCGGATTGTGACACTCACTTTGTCAAAGTCAGGCTCTGCTACAGTGGCGTTGGGACTCAGCTGGTTGTGGAGCCTTGGATCTGACACAGCTTTATTCAGGTTGTAGTCGAAGAACAGTGCATTCAGAATCACCTACAAAACAGCAAACATGTCCGCCAATGATAACTTCACAGCAGAGGAGCAAATACCTAGTTATCATAGTACACTTCATTAGTTGCAATGCTACATGTGAGGTGGCTTGTGTCTTACCTGAGTGACTGAGGTGGTGATTTTTGTTCCTCCTGAGCCTCCGACCACCATCTTAACTTTGTTGTTTTTGTCAAGGAGGATGGTTGGACACATAGAAGACATCGGCCTTTTTCCTTTCAACATAATTTAAAGGTAATTTAAGTTAACAAAGTAGTCAAATGAATCAAGTGTATGACCTTTGCAATGTATTATTAATAACTTTATAGAGGTCTGTTATATTTTGATGTCAAAGAATCCACATTAAATCGACTTTGATTCAATGTTTTAAAACAATGAAGGTAGTGAAAACAATTGATCCACTCTATGTTTTTTAAATGCACAAAAAAAATCATTATTCAAAAGCCAAAATAACATAGTGTCAGAGGACAGGTCAACCTTTGAAGTAGCCCAAAAACAGACAATCTTTACAATTTAACTGGTTTATGTGTGTATGTGTGTGTGTGTGTGTGTGTGTGTGTCATCATCTCACCTGGCCTGATGAAGTTGTTAGGTGAAGGAGGCACTCCAAAGCCGTTTGTGATGAGCGGAGAGCTGAAGTCGTCCATCTCATTGTTGAGAAGTATCCCTGTTGATCTTGACATGACTTTAGAGCCCAAACTGCAGGAAAACAATAACAGTTAAGATATCGGGGGAGTTACAGGCCGAGACCAATTAACTAAGTTAGTTCAAAGATATTGGTGAAGGTCAAGTAGTAGGACATACAATTGGTTGATGGTGCTGGTGGCAGCCACAGCGCTTCCATCTTCTGCTACTACAGAGAGGTGTGAGGTCCCGTGGTTTTCAGGCAGGTAAAACTCAGGCTCGTAATAGTTCATGTGATGTGTGGAGTCATCTGTGATCTTTTCACGGAGGTCATCGGCATAGGAACTTGAAGTCATATTTTGGATGAGCTTTGGAAGAGAAACACGGACACGGAAATAATTCATATATCTTGTTCCTACAAATCCAAGACAGGCAGAGTGGAGGCTTTTAAATATGTCTCAAGACACTCACGTCTGTGGGATGAAGTAACAGCAATTCAACGATTTCTCCAAAGATGAATCGCTTGTGAAACTCTGCTTTGTGTTTTATTTTTGGTGCACTTACCCTTCAGAGTCAGTCATTTTACTATTAGAAAAAAATCATTGTTCTTCACACTGCAGTCTAAACAGCAGGTGAATATGAATTTGAGAAATTATGTTTATGTTATAAACTACAAATCTGAACAACATTATGCTAGATTACATTTATCATAAAGAAACATTGTTAAAGACAAATTTGCCATGTTGTAAAATGTTGATACTGAATGTATCTGCAAAATTAGCACTTAATTTATTTTCCTATATATATATATATCATTATAATTCCTGCTCAGTGCAACGAAAGCATGATTATTCTACTCTATTTATGGTTGCATTGAGGCGCTCACAGCAGTGGTTAGGAAAAGACTGTGCCCTTGGTTTGAGATTGAAAAAGTCAACAGTAACTTCAAGACTGAGACAAGATATGTTATCTTCTTTTAACATTTAACTGAAAACACAATGACCACTTTCCCTAAATGTAACGAGTATGTTGCTGACCTCCTGTGGTATGACCTTGCTGAGATGTACAAGTTCACTCCGACATCATGACATCACTGGATAATTTCTGACCACAGAAAACACTTCTCAGCTTGGTGCCATATTAATCTTTAACCAAAACGCTTTGTTTGCACATGATAAAACATTTAATTTAACTATGTGTACTATGTGTGTATTCGAGGATGCCTGACTTGTGGTAGTACACTGCACTACACTCAAGCAGAACCAGTGACCTTACATCTGTGATGTTGAGAAACATCGGATCTCCAAGTAAGGTCCTCTTTGCATAAGCAAAACGAAAAGCCTCCACGATGCGATGGTAGGTCAGGATCTTTTTCTCTGTGGTTGCCATACTATCCGAGGTGAAGTTGTACCCTGTAGAAAATGTAACAATCATCAGTAGCTTGATATAAACTACAGCTTCACTCACTGTGTTCGTTCGGATGGCTGTTGAGGTAGGAAAGGAGACAGCTGAAATGGACTTGACCCAGCCTGTTCCTGTGTTTTTACTTAGTCTAAAAGCTGCTGTGACCAGACCATGGGTATTAGCCTGAGCTGACAGCCACTGGGGTAAACGGGAGGAGAAACTGAGGGAACCGGAGAGTTTTGGTTTGATGGGTTTCAGCTGTCAGACAGAGGCAGGAGTCACGGTAAATCAGCAGGACGAAAGTTTTGGGCAGTCACTGAAATGTGTGCATGAAGCCTCGACCGTTCGACTGTGTCCAATTAGAGGTAAATTGGTGAGATTAGTGTTAGCGTGGGAGACAGGGGGCCGCAGTGAGTGGGTGGCCAGTCAGAGGAAAGTAAAGGTTCAGAGAGATTAATTACTTTGGAAGGAAGTTTCTCATCCAATCCTCAAAGGCAGACACTGTCACTGTACTGAAAAGCAGCACAGAGACAGCACGAACATTTTCTGCTATGATCAGCCAACATAGGAAAAAGTTGAATCAGGCTGATTATGATGTACACAGATATAGGTAGCAATAATTTGATTAGCAACATATTAATGAACTTCACTGGTCAGACTCTGAGCCTCTCAGATGTGTAGACACAGACTGCAATTATCTTTGGATCTTAATAACTTCAATCAAACAAAAGCCCTCCTGTCAGGGTTATAGAGTCGTTCCCTCAGGTGTTTTAACTGCATCCTCTAAATTGTTTCAGTAGCTTATTGCTTTATGTACTTTGGAGGCAGCATCTGTTGCAGCATCAACAGTTCAAGTGCTAATACGTAAAAAACAAAATAGGCCTTTTGCCAGTTTCTTCTTCCAAGAGTAATTCATACATAAGTATGAGGCTGTCTGATCTGTCACAATTTCAATTCAATTTGGGAAATATACGCTTATTCAAGTGTAAAAGTGACAATTCACAAGCGATTTTCTGGATTTTTCTTGGCCACAAGATCCAATATGTTAATTTATGAGGTTTAGGTGCTTTAAAAAAACATGAGACCATCTTGAGATGGGATCAGAACAGCTGCAACGACAAATTGGGCCAGGGCCGTTAGCTGAGGGGGCCGCACTTCTTAACCTCCTATTTCTGGCGCCATTGCTGTGACTATACCCATCTTCACACTCTGCCTCCGTTTTGATCTCAACTACACACCTGTAAAGGGTCGTGACTGTATCTTGCACGGTTGTGGCGCTTTCACAATGACAATATCTGTCCACAGACAGAAATATAAACACTCACACACAGACTGACAAGGTTAAAACATTAACAGTGTTGCTGTCGCAGCTGGTGAAGATAGAACCACAACCAGCCTGGCTGTTTCCCCTTTACTCTAGTCTTCATGCTAAGCTAAGTCAGCCGGCTGTTAGCAGTAGCTTACTTGGCGTGAAGACATTTTAAGTTGATTGTATCAATCTTTTCATTTAAAGGCCTTGAAAATTGTTCCTTCTTATTTCAATGCGATTGTACGGCAAAACGTCACACATGCTCTGCCTTTGGTTCTTAAGAAGAAGTCTTGTGTCATTTAGTCATATAGTAGTGCATGTTACTACTTTGTAAAACAGTTCTACAGTACAAATGTGGGTCTAGGTTTTACAAAGTAGATCAAGATTCTGTGAGGTAACTAAGTCAACAAAGCTTTTAGAGTAGATTTACTGTCGAGAGGTTTATTTTGAAGCCTGGAGAGGGGGTGTGAATATTCACTCTGTAGATATAATTCAACATGCTGCTCACAGTGGAGTCTGAGAGAGTGACTGGCAAAGGGAAGGCAGCTCACATGAAAGCACTCCCACTCGGGATGTTTTTGGACAAAGTATCAAGGCTTACCATTCAAGATGTTTAATATCAGCGAGAGCACAGGGCCGCTAGCGGGGGCATTGGGAACAGCCATGGTGTACTCCCCCACATTCACCCTTAAAGGCTTCTCATTCAAGACAGGCACATAATCCTTCAGATCCTCCATTGTGATGATACCGCCTAAACATGGATTGACACACACTGTGAATGCACACTAGGACAGAACTGGAAAAAATAAATCCTCCTCAAAATTAGCTATGCACGGAGAAGTGGATGTTAGTATGTTTTAATATACGCCTGAAGTGTTTTTTTTAGCAAAAAACAGAAGTGGCGATGATGATAATGATAATGTCCTTGTGTGTGAGATGAATTCGATGGTACAGAAAGATGATCTAATCTGCAGAAACAGCTGTTTGGATTGTAAAATAAAGTAAAACGATGACTCAATTTGAGAGAAAGATGCAACTTTTTTACTATAATTGTGGAAACTTGAATTTGCTACTAATTATAACAGACTTTTTCATCCAACAAAGAAAATAAGCTTTTCAGGAAACTATATGATTTTAGACAGTAAATACAATTAAAACAAAACCTACCTGCTGCCTGAATATCTGTCACAAGGTTCTGAGCCAGTTGTCCCTGATAGAAAGCATTAGGACCCTCTTCTGCTATTTTCTTATAAGTTTCTGCAAGCTTGGTAAATATGATGGTGTCATTTTCTTTCAGGACGTCACCATCTTTCCCACAAAACACTTCACTGAAATAGATGAAATGATCTTAAAGTGGGAATGAAACATTCCTATAATCTGAAATAATCACACACTGATCTTAAATTGCTGAGGGTCGATGCCTCTCACCACAGGGCTTCGTCTTTGATGATGGTTTTGTTGTGTCTGGACAAAGCTGAGGCAAGTGCCCTGCCCAAAGGAAAACCCTTTTCTGCAAGATCAATGCTTGGCTGGAACAAGTCTTTCCAAGGCAGTTTGCCGTGTCGTTCGTGTGCCATCTCATAACCTCGAATCTCCCCCGGTACAGCAATAGACAACCCTCCTACCAACCATAGAAGCAAAGGAAACAAAGACTTAGATTATTGCCTCACAACATACATACACACATACTGCTTCTTATTCCTGAGTTTAAGAGTCTGTCAAAGCCCTCAAAGACTACACTCTCTTTTATCTGTCACTATCACAAAGTCATCTTCTTTCATAATAGTGTTAACTGCAGCTTCCGTCAGCTCATTTCTATGTCTGATAGCGCTGGTTAAACATTACCTTTCTGGGATAGATCTGTGCTGTTCCCAAACATGTTCTCCGTTGCATTGCGTGGTGCCGTCTCCCTGGCATCAATGGTCTCAACCATCCCTGTGTACAGGTCACAAACCAGCATTTATGATCGAGATAACCATGAAGTCGTGTGAATTTGTTTGCGACGGTAGAAAGTAAACAGAGGACTTTGTGGTGGCAACGTAAGTGAAAGTACCAGTTTTGGCGTTGTAGATGGTGAAGAAAATTCCTCCTCCGATGCCCATACTGTGAGGATTCATAAGTCCAACACACAGTAATGCAGCTATAGAAGCATCTACTGCAGACCCCCCTTTCTTCAGAATGTCTCTTCAGTAAAATGTATGAAAACACAGGGAGAGAAAGGGTGTATGGTTAGTTTTGTTGTTATGTTCATGCTTCTATCTTTATGGATGTTTCAGTCTGTAAACTCTCACCTGCCGACCTCTGAACACGGCCCAGCATCTGCCGCCACAGCTGCCTTCAAGTACACCTGCTCGCCCGGCTGCTTCCTTCTCCCGACACCAAAGAAGACACCCACGAATGTGGCGACTGATGCCAACAGCAGCAGCGTCAGTGCCGCAATTATCATCTTCTTTACCATATTTATAGCGCAGGAACAATCAATGCTTTATTTAATGCCTGTCAAGAGAAAAAAACATTTACATTTGTGTACATTTTAAATGTATGGAATAGCAGTTGCAAAGAGCTGCACTTTGCAAAATCAGAAACAAGCAAACAGAAATTACACATAGATGTGTATAGATACTGCAATATCAGCAGTATCAATAAATATCCAGACATTTGGAGCAATATTACTCACAAGAAAATGTAAACCCACGTATTGAAATGTTAACATAAAAATGTAATACATGTCAATAAATAACTCTTTAGAGGAGGTAACTTGATACAACAACAATACACACAACCTACAGCATATTTCTTATGGGAATAAAGCATACAACAGCTGGTTAACAAATGTTGAGCTCCATCTGTGTTCTGTTGCCGCATGTGCCAACTCAAAATATAAGTAACCAAGTAACTACGACACTTAACAGAGTAATGAGTGAGGCAGAAGTTAGTGTTGGACTAATTAGCTCACACGCTGTCACGGGTGCTGCTCGCCTTTACGACTGCGAAAGAGAATGACAAGTGAAATGATGGTGGCGCTGGACCTATTGAGCCTTACTGCCACCACTTTTTGAAAATGTACCTCATTTATTTTGGTTTTCAGAAGGACTCACTTTAGTCAAAAAGCATTAAAAAAGTATCCCACTAATTAAGCCTTGAACTCCTACAACACTGCCAGCCTCACGATTAAGAGTTTAACCAAAAAAAGGATAAAAACTGATGCAGCAGAACCTAAAATATTGTCGTTTTTATTCCATGCATTGTTCTGGCGCCTACATTACCCACAATACAACTTGACAGCTGACAGTTTAACATAGATTCGGTGTGTTATAGTAGTATTCCCCAAGGAAATGTAAATATAAATTGATTGATTGATTGATTGATTGATTGATTGATTGAATAGTGGATTAGATGAAACAGAATTTACGTAGTTCAGTACTACTGTCAAACACCTACGTTGAGATGTACACAGAATGTAACCTATATAAATAACAGAGGGATTTGGTGCTACCAGCCAATAAACCTTCTAATTGTTGTGTTTAAGTAAAGTCGTCCGAGTCAAACAGTTTTGTATATCTGAGGTGATCTGACGGTGAGGCTTTGTGTCCTCCTGGCTTTACATTCAGCAGCCAATAAAGAGAGAGTAATTCAGCTTAAAAACACCCCCATTCGCTCCAAACGAACAAAATAAATTAAACCAGATTACGCAACATTGGATTGGTTCGGTCGCACAGCACAATCATTTTTGTTGAAACCTGTACACAAATCATTTATACAAAATTGTCTCCTACCTTGACGTCTCAAAGAACAAAGTTGCTTTAGCAATTAAAAGCTTAAAAGAAACTTTGTGAGGTCAAACAACTACATGTGGAAAAATGTAAAGCCTAGCCTTAGATCTGGATTCAACATTGTACCACCTGGATTATAGAGCTAAACCGTCCCAGACATGTAAAACAATTTTCTATCTTACCTGGTTTTTCTCTCGGGCCCTGAGCAACAGGCTGTTCCCTGCGAGCATTTGCCACAGTCTGCAGCAGTTTATGGGTAAGAGACTTACTGTGCTTCTCAATGTGTAACTATCAAAGTCATTAACCTTTAACCCAGTGGTTCTCAAACTTTTTCTGTCACGCCCCACTTTGGAGGAAGAAACATGTTTCATGTTTCCAACAAAATTGGAACAAAATGGTCCATGTTGAACTTTTATTGAAACATTTTGTGACTCCTCCATCTGTGCTTTTTCAAATAATAGAATAAAGACAATTGTAATCACTTTCAAGTAAACCAGATTGCTCCATCAGACAAAAACAAATACAATGTGCAATCACTTTGTTAGAACAATGCAAATAAAGTTCAATCTGTGCAAAAAATAACTAATATTTGGCAAGAAATTGCTTATTGTGGCTGCAATTAACCTGTTCTGCACTGAATATCTTTCCAAGATAATAACAATAAACTGCAACCTGTGAAAAACTAAACAAAATGAGTACAGATGTGCTTCACACATACCAGGAGCATTTTATTTTAAATATGAGCTTTAAAATGTAGCATTCTAAAAGTAAAATAATAGCTGTGATTTAACTACTCGTGGGACTATTGGGACTGTTTGTCCACTGGCTGTGGTCATCACAGTGAACAGTGTGTACAGTGTGATGACGGGGGCATGTTTCATCACGTTACGTTTTTTCCTCCTAAATCGTGATAATGACAAACGTCAACAGTCCACAGAGTTCCGCATGCAGTGGAAGTTAACTTAACCCAGCAAGTCTGAACTGTAACGGAACATAACTGAACATAAACTGTAACGGAGGGAAAGACGCTGTAGACAGCTTAACGCTGATTGGCCAAGACTCGACAGTTTGAGAACCACTGCAACCCACCCCACCATAAAACACCTATCTTGTGTTCGGAAGGGGAGAAGGGGACGGACACAGACGTAACAACTTGAGACAACACTCAAGTTATCGCTCAAATAATTAGTCATCTGTACTCAATTTTCACATAACTTTGCAAAATACCACGAAGCAATTGCACGAGCCTGAACCTGAGAGGAAACAACGATTTGCTGGAAGAGTAGTTATTCATCTACGGCAAACATTAACAGTGGTTTGCTGGTGGTTTATCTCGAATAGATGACATGTGACTCTAGGTAGTCAACACAATGACACAATGACAGCAGGGATCCGTTTCACCTCTCTGACGCAACGGCTCACAAAACCTTTGATATTTAAGTTTTAAATAAAGTGCCTCCTCACCGGGAAAATGAAGGCTTTCAGGGCTGCGAGGGAGAAGATCACATCTGCCATGAGGGGGAGGAAAGAATACTAAGAACAAACTGCAGAGGAACAGTGTGAAGGGGTGCAGAGCTGGAGGAGAAGGGTCAGTTAAATAAGCATGCCAGGCCAATAGGTGGAGGCCAACAGGGACAGGAAAGATGACTCAACTTTGACACCGGGACCCCAGGATCAGCTAAGCCAGGTTATCCCAGAATACCTACCCCCACCGATAAAAGCCCTTTTTTGAATTGACCCTCCGAGGTTGGGATGGAACTCCTAGACTGCACCATGAAATGATTCACAGAGAAAATTGGCGGACAATCGAATTAGTTTAAGCTTCAGATGGCCTGAAGGCACTCAAGGAGGTGCATGTACTGTATGTAATTTGAGAAAAAGCCCTGACAGCCAGCCTTGAATTTGATTCCCAATCAAATAGCTATGATTAAGTTATAAGTCACTCAGGTTAATATATTTTTTTTTTTTTAAAGAAGGAAGCAATGGCGCTGCAAGAACATTTTCTACTTAAGCAAAAATCTTTCATCTTTCAATACAAAAATTCTTACAGCAACATCCAGGGAGACTCCATGAATGCAGTCTACTTTTCACTCATTTGGTCCGTGAGTTGGACTTTTAGTTACAGCTGTGATAACAGCAACACTTATTGTTTGTGTTTTCACAGCTGTAGCCCATCAACTGTACTAAATATCCAAAGTTGGTTACATAGCTCCATTTCAAACAGAACCTTATAGACAGGCATGCTATGTAGGAAAACACCGCACTTATCTGGGCACTTACAAGCTGACAAAACACGGTTAACCATCCTGGAATACTGTTTTACTTAAATGAAGTGGACCATATCTGCTAAGCAGCTGCACTGCTCCATTTTCCTGATTTCCTCCTTTTATTCAATGAATGCTGTTTGCATTTTGCTACCACTGACAAAGCAGCTTTCATGATATGCGCTGCCAAGTTTGCCCCTTTCTTCTTCTTCAATTTTTTCGGGTATATATAAAGAATGCTTGTCAGAGCCTGATCATATAACACACATCTGTGCTGTGCTACGAAAATCAACAGGCTGTAAATCAATTCTTATGTTGGATGCATGTAAGCCGAGCCACGAAACACCTCCACGGAGATGTACGAGTCCCACTTTTGGCTTGACACCGGCTGCTGGAGGACGCCACCACCATGAAGAGTAAAAGACAACGTCACGTTATTCTCACAGGATTCACCTTGAATATAAAATGGTTGTAGGCACATAAACCACAGAGTGACGCTGGTGTACCTCATGCAGCGAGAAGCAAAATCAGCAGCTTCTGAGATGATACTAAATATCGTGAAATATTCCTTTCCAACATACTGTACATCTGCTCCTGGGATTGTCCTTCTGGCTGTCAACTCTGTCACCTCCTGCACCAAAACATCCCGGAGTTTGCTGCATACGTCTGGAGACACGAGATAAAAGGTCAAGTTTACGGTAAACAGTGACAGCTCACAGAGAGTTGCTTTAAACTTCTCAAATGTCCTCTAGTGTGACGTTTTAAGCAGGACGGCATCATTTGTAAGCGTCTTCCAAAAACATTTAAGAAATAATACAGTTTTCTGATCTGACAATGCTGTGGTGAGGAAAAGATCATGGTTTGCGTTCACATGACTACTTTAAAGTGGAGGAATGAGATGGCCTCACCTGTTGCACGCAGCTCATTTTCTTTTATAGTTTACACTTAATAGTTAATTTTCTCTTCATTGAGTTGGCTGCCCTTTTGACCTTATGCACATAAATCAGCAAACAGATAAATGATGACATTGCTTTTGTTTCAGACATCATGCTTCATTCAGTATTGTTGGCAGTCCGTTAGTGTATTTTTGTAGGGGCAGATTTAGTTAACTTCTGTAAGGTCACATGGTTTAGTTTGTCTTCAGTTAACTTTGCCTACATTTGTTGTAATTCACATTTCTTTGAGTTACCAGTGCCGAGGGTGGTTGCTGGTGCTGAAGGAACAATCTTGTCAAGCCTGAGTGAATGATGCACACCTTAAAGCAGAGCTCTTAAATACAGGAAGCGTCCAATCAGAATGTATCATGGGGGGGGTTGGATTTCCAGTTTAGAGATTTTGTTTATTTCTTTAGAGCATATTAGTTTGTTGGTTTTGGTTTATTGCTTAAATATTTATACTAAAATGTTCCTGTTTGTTTTTTTGTTTAGTTTAGTTTTTGTCTTTGTGTTGCCCCTTTGTTTAAAAAAAATGGTCTGCTCAGCCATGTTCCCCTTTGTGTACAGTACATAGTTTAGGTAAATGAAACCCTCTTTGCTCGGTCTCTCACTGGGAAGGATCATACTCCATGAGGACTCCATACCACCCAAAAAGAAACACAGTAAATTGGTACAAACCTTGTTTTGTGAAGAATGCTGTTTTTTCCTCAAATCCAGTGTCAACAAAAAAAAATATGAACCTTGACAATCCAGGAGATCATCGACCCTGAGAATGAGGTGTTCGGTGAAATCATGCAATCCAGACAGAGCCTGTGAGAGCCATTAGACTTTAGTACCAGCATGATTGGGATGCATCACTACTGTTTCCATGGCTTTGCCTTTAGGCTGGGAGGTGGTACGACTTATTGCACTCAACCCCACTAGGGGTTGTTAAGAGCTTATGCTGTTATATCAGACAGGGCTGACAGTGAAAGCTCGGGCCCTAACTCATCTCTCATACCCACTGACCAGAGACACAGATTCACCCCACGCTTTTATTTGGTTAACAAGATGCATCTGTGTCAATCACAGTGAATGCAGTTTAGAGGTTGAATTAAATAGCGATGCAAGTCTCACTCTGTAAATTGTCTCACTTAGCCCCCCCTGATGTCAACGTTCCTGTGCCCAGAGCAACCATCACAGAGCATTTATTTTCCAATTTCTGTTGGTTTTACGAATGAACAAAAAAAAAGAAAAAGACAGTTACGTTTCCGCTAAGTCATAGTGGAAGATGTAGTCTTAAAGAGTAACTCGATAAAAGCAGTGTTTCACCTTGCTGAGAGTTTTAAAGTCCGTTGCACCTCTAACCACACCCAACAGTGATGTCACAGTGTACTGATGCATCATGTAGTACACTCATACATCACTGTAGCGAAGTGAATTGTATGATTTTCAGCCGATGTTAAGTTGCTCTTAACTGAGATTAAATAGCTTTTATTGTCCGCTTTAATGTTTTCATCTGCTCTTTAAAAATCCTAATGTTTCATATCTTTTGGTTTCAGTTTTAGTGTTATTATTCAGCATCTATCTATTTATATCTATCACATTTCTATATTACTAGATAAGATATCGTTGCATAAGATACAGCAGGCTATAACAACATGGATTAAACAGGTCAACTCTCTCTGATTGACTCAGTTTCCAATCAACATTATGTGCGTTGCGCGCACGTCCTGTGAAACTAAGCTGAGATCAGTTTCCGACATGACTCTCGCTCTCAGTCTGTGCGGAGAATCCGGATCTGATTGGCTGAGGAGCGCACTCAGCGCTGAGTAAAGCAAAGGATGCCAGAGTGCTCAGGCAGTGCATGGACGGATGCAGACAGGGGGACGACGGCGAGAGACCGGGCACACACACGCACACGCACACGTTGTTGTTTTATGATACTGCTACTTTAAACTTTAAAGTGCTATTTCACTGCGCGGGCGCGAGTAAAGTGTGATGTTTTGGCTGCGTGTTGTAAAATCCCTCTCGCCACCACCGACGCATCCTCTCAGGGAGTGATGGGTTCTAAGTTGACCAGACGGAGAAGTCTCGATCTGGAAACAAAAGTGTCCAAGAGGAGACGCCAGAGGAATGACAACCAGGGAGAGAGCGAGAGAAGCGGCGGCAGAGACTTCTTGTTTACCTCTTTGATGCTCAAGTCCGACAAGCTCCCGGGGATGCAGCGCAAAAACAACCACAGCCCATATGTCGGACGGGTGGCGTGGATCCGGGAAATCCAGACGCTGCTCCGGGACCAGAGGATGGAGCAAGCGGCCGAAGTGCTCAAACTGCTGAGAAAGGTAAAGGGCTGACATTATTGTTGGATCATGATCATGCGCCAAGTCTGTCCGTCTGTAGCCTCTTGTTAAACCTAGAAACGTGGCTTAATTGACGCTGTAAGTGGGTACTGATGAGCACGTGGGCAAAAAGTTAAACGACCTAAGAGGCATTTTATTTTTTATCTGCAAAATATTGACTTTTATATTTACTGAGAAACGTGAAATGTGTTAGTGTAAGACGCTTGTATTTAATATCGCATCAGTTTATTCAGTTGTTGTGTCCTTATTTCAATACACCTGACATATTGCCTGCACAGATATACTGGAAGTGTCTGCTGTAGTTTAATACAAAGCTCAGCTGTCACTCATTGGAGAAAATGCACTTTTCAGGGAGCAGGTGTGTCTGCAGGTGTCAGTTATTTTTTTAAAAACGTTGAAGTCATTTAATCATCTACTCTTTGCAAGTTCTCATAACTTTATTGACATAAACGCTATGGCTTCTTTTACTATTCCTGTGGGGAAAAGAAGCACAGTGAGACGCTGCTTTAAATCAACCACCTGTTTAGTCTGAAAGGGAATGGCTAGGAGGAAGCCAGCTCAGTCTCTGAATATATTCAATCAGCTCCACATGACACAGAACACTGAGGATAGTATATGTTAGCCCGGCACCGAAACCAATTCAAGTTACTTTTATTTTCTATGTGATAAACTTTATGACCTTAAGTAAATGTTTGGCATATTTCTTTTTCGAATAAATACTAACAAGGTCTTTTTCAGGTAAAAGAAAATATTAAGCAATTAACATAAATGAATGGCAAGCCACATATGCTGTCTTTTTCAGCCAGTTTCCTGTGTAAAGGAGGTTTGAAATATACATAAGAGGGATTAAAAATACATTATAAATATTTAAATCCACATAAGAAGCACAAACACAGTTGATACTTTAATGTGGTGTTGTTAAATGCTTTACTCTATCCCCTGTTGCACGGCATTGTTCAAACACTCCTTTGTTAAATTGTTAATAATTTGTTAAATAAAGATATGACACTCCTCAGCGTCATATCCCGCAACTATAAGGTATGTTTATTTCATGCATTTAAGCCTTTTCCCATGTAACACCTCCCCTGCTCTAATCCTCACTTTCTGAGGATTTATCCAAAGTTTTTAGAGCTCAGCTTGAGCTTCCCACTGCCTTCTGGAAGCCGTGCATTGATCAAAGGAGAGCAGTTTTGAAGTTCAGACAAAAGCAGTTCTGATCAAGAGGGCTCCCTGTCATGCAAACTCCCTGCCCATCTGTACGGTGCCGTAGAATAAATTACATGTGCAGGTTTAAAGCAGGAAACAATGCTGAGGAGAAGCTACGGGTGTCTGACAAGTCGGAATTGAAGACAGATTTGTAGATATCTCTTATAGGCTGCACAGAATCCATTTTGCATGTGATAGATATGGGGTCAATTTAAATTTCATCATATAGAGGTTCACATTTGTGTGAAGCAGGAGGGAATTGACTCAGGCATGTCTTCCTGTAAGACTTCAACATTGCTGTACCTGTTTGTTAAAGCGGTGTCTGCGGTCCGTCATACTGAAAAGGATCGTAAAGATCAACATGTCAGTGGTGAGCAGGGACAGCTTTCTCCATAGCTCTGCATTTAAACTTCTCACGAAGCACGAACACGCTCTCCATCACTCAGCGAGGTGAAGGCAGAGCGCTGCTACTGGTGTATGTCGTTGGGGCCGAAGCCAAGCGTCTGACTAACAATACTTCCAAGACAGGGGGGGGGGGGTAAACTAGCAGTAGATCTCCTGTTGTGGTTCTCCAGCAGAGAAGCAGATCTTCCTCTCAGAGACGGATGGATTTGGAGATAATCCCCTTGAGATGATGGAAGCTGGAGCATTTTTCTTTCACATAAAGGAAATTATTACAAAGAGGAGCCAATAACATCGGCCCCTACGCTGCATTGCCATGGCAGATCGGCCCTCTGGGCCATTAAGTTAATTAGTTTGTGATATTTTACATTAATAAATAAAGAATCAGCATATATACTCATATCAATTCCACTCTACAGCATGCACACTGAGTAACCAATGTGCAGCGATGGAGAAGACACTAATTAAGGGGCTCTCTGTAGTGTATGAGTCTGAGGTTATAGCTGTCACAGCACACATATTTTATTAATTTATTTTCTTCAACTTAAAATGCATCAACAAAAAACCTGCGGTGCCTCTGTGATTATATCATTATTCATCCAATAGGTTTAGTGTTGGAGTTTACCTCTTCTTTGCCTGTCTGCCTCTCTGTATGCTATCAAAGGCAAACTTCCATGAAAATGAATAAATTAATAAAAGTTACACGACCCACATTAATGAAGTAGTTCGATATTTTTGGGAAACACACACATTCACTTTCTTGCTGAAAGTTAGATGAAAAGATTGATACCTGTTTCATGTCTGTCGGGTAAATATAAAGCTACAGTCAGCAGCAGGTTAGCGTAGCTTAGCATAAAGACTGAAGCAAAATCCACCTCCCAGCTTTTCTAAAAGCTCATTTATTATTATGTTTTAAACTGTTTCAAACATGTAAAAACGATGTACTTGTGGTTAGTGTGTCTATTTCTTGGCCATACCCAGTGAACACTGCCAACCTGTGAATGAACAAGATATATCGTTTGTTTGTGAAATTTAGAGACTAGTAGTTTCCAGTCTTTGTGCTAAGCTAAGCTAAGACAAGCTTCTGGCTGTAGTATTGTACTTGCCAGATGATTCATCTTTTTATCTAAGCAAGAAAGTGATTATCAGCATATTTCCCAAAATGTCAAACTATTCCATTAAAAAGATGAGCTTCTGGTACACTTCCCACAAATTAAGATGATTTGAAAAAAGTCACTTTGCTAAATGTACCTGAGTGAACATTAGAGACTCACTTTGCAAATAGCGAACGATACTTCAATAAAATGCGGATTTATTTAAATTGGAAAATTGGATAGAAGTACAATGTGTACAGAAAGTTCCCCTTTATTTAAGGGACAGATTGCTAATGTGACTGTGGTGCTAAATTCATTATCAAGTATAGCACTCACAGTGTTCATATTTAAGTGTAGAAGAAGACAATATTCCTTATATGTCTTGTCACATTTGACTAAGCTGACATATTGACCTTGTCCTGCTTGTCAGACATAATTGCCAACAGCTAGTTGCTGCTGGCCAGGCATCTGTGTCCGTGAATCTTCAGCTTTTCAGTCCTTATTCACAAGACAGTCATGCAGTACTGACCCCTTGCCTTTAATTTGATATGATTGCTTAAAAGGTCACAACATTTCGTCAAAACCTGTAAAGAACATCTAATGCTAAAATGTGAGTAAACAGAACTGGACAACTGACAGCTGCCACAGGTTTCCTAAACTGAAGCAGGAAACGGTGGGACTGGATTTGTCACACTGTGCAATATATGTAATTGGATTCTAATGAACTGCATGTGTGGGATGATGTTCTGCGGGTTCGGAGCTCGTCGCTTTATTCAGAGTTTTTGTGACGAGACAGTCGTCAGATTAGATACACAGCTTTCACGAGGACATTTGTAGTGGGATCTGAGGGCACACAGGCATCCTGTCAGTGACAAATAAGAAAACATTTCATTTGGAATCAGCCAAATGAATCCACAGGATCACATCTCTGTGTGTATTTTAAAAATGGGCTTCGTTTCAGCTATAAATCCCACTCACATCTGATGCTGCAGCTGCACTACGTATAACACACATCATCATCACAATATAATCTTCAAAATCCTCTTTGCCTCCATTTATGGGCACATGTGGTGCCCTCAGTCTGTGCTAAATGAGGTTTATTGAAGGGAGAGGGGTCTGGAGGGTAGTCCAGCGTCAGGGAATCCCGCAGAGCTCCGCTGTAATAAATCAACTCAAAAGCTGGAGGAGGAGAAAATGCTGATGGGAGTTTTCCTCTTTGCCTCGACTGTGCCCCTAAGTGTTCGGCCTGTCAGAGCGTGTATAGCATGTTTCACACTGCGTCCACCTCCAGCCTGCTATTTGAAAAGCTTTTCAGTTCATATACATCTGAAAGTATTTACTCCTCAGCTTCTAGTTGTACAGTGTCACAAGAGGACAATGGTCCACAAACATGTTTGTTCACCAGTAGCAGCAGTAATGACACAACAGCATGTATGAGCAGAGGAAATAATCTTTTAACGGCTTAATGCCTAAAAAGAAGAGATTTCCTTGTACCGTCTTACTCGCAAACCTTTTATTTTTTCTGTTCTTTGTTTCATTAGCTCAGTTTCACGTCTTCCCTGCTGTTGTTCATTTGATCCTGTGTGTGTGTGTGTGTGTGTGTGTGTGTGTGTGTTTGTATCTTTGCCCGCATGCTGGTGAGGCTTATACATCGGCTGTTAATGACACCTCAGCACTCAAAGGTCTACCTGAAGCAACATATTTACATTGTCATCGCAACCACAAACAACCTGAAGATAATATAAGTATAATCAACAACCGGGCGTGTGTCCTTCACATCACACAATCTTTATCTTATGAATGCTGAAGATTGAAGGTAGAAAGTGGAAGTGCATTAATCAGAACGTATTTTCCTTAAGACGGTTTAGAGACGTGTTTTGTGAAAATGATAAAAAGTCTTTTGGGCCAAAACTACAACTGAAACCTGTTAATGAGATAAGAGGAACCAGAAGGAGTCTTAGAGTAACTGTGATATTTGAAGAAAGACCACACCACTTTTATCTTCGCTTACTGAAACTTTACTCCCAACATCCCTCACACACACACACACACACACACATAGACACCCTCCTCTCATCTGCTGCACTGGCTGTTAACACAAGACTCTGATAGCAGAACCTTATCAGTTTGCCTCGCAGCGTGATAAGAGGGCAAAATGAAAGGAGATGATGAACAAAGCTCATAAACGTTGACTCTATTTTCATTAAACAATCCATGAAATGGCACTTGAATATTAAATCAAGCATGGCTCAGACACGGATGCTTTAATCAAATGAATTTCTGACCATCTACACACTGTTAGTTTTAGTAAGAGTTAACACATGGCTCTCTCTTCTTTTCTCTCAGGATTTGGGACTCCAGGGAACGTCACTCAACGAAATTTTGTACAAGAACGCAGCTTTTCTCAACCTGGTGGACCCCATTTCTCACGAGCTGCTGCTCAGTCTCGCCCGGGACCTGCAGTGTCCAAAAAGGGTGAGAATCCAGAACGATCCGCTGCGTTTCAACTGTTACATTAATGAATTATGAAACCGACAGACCTCACATTAATTGACTGTGCAAGGACCACAATTGTAAACAGAGGAGAGGCAAGCTGCAACATGTCCACCTTTATTAGCCAAGCCTAAGTGCATGTGTCATATTGGTAGAGAGGTACGGGATCAATGGTAGGGCCGAACGGAGGCACTGGATCAGGGTTTGGCTCTGCAATGGCACCATGCGGTCTGTCTTTCCTGCTGCTCATGTGCTCTTTCGAGGCATTGGCAAATGGTAGCAGCTGTGCTCCAGGACCTGCAGGTGTGTGAGAGGCCTGCGTGGGCAGGTGCTTGGTGGTCATCATTCTGAGATCAACAGGGCTGGCAGCCGCGGTCAATAGCACCGAGGATTTTGGGTCAGCATGGCGTTGGCACTACTAATGAGAGCACTTTGAGGGCTCTGACAGGAGGTAGGTGGCCAGTGGGATCAAACCGGAGTCTGCTGAGTGTGGGATCAAACCGGAGTCTGCTGAGTGTCTGATCCGATGTGTCCCAGGTAACAGACACCGCTCACTGTTTGTAAGGGACTGTACAAAAATGATTAGGGGGCAAATAGGGTCAAACGAGGTGGAGGGTATTTTAATTTTAGTTTTTTCCTGTTTGAAATGTATCTTAAAAATGATCTTATTTCAAGCTTCCTGTGCATTATACAGCCTATTGTTAATGTGTACATTGGTGGTGCATATTAGATGTTTCGTTAAGATATTAGGGTTTGAATTTGGGCTTTTGAATAAACAAGTTGTACCAACTCCTCTGTTACAACTCCCTCTAATTGGTTTACAGATATTACTGATATGACTAAACCTTTCACAGCATGAAAACATTCATCATTTATATGCAGTTGTCTAACATTAGTCTTATCTGTAAATCAATATGACAAGCTCTTTAATTATGCATATGAAATATGTTCAGATGTGTGTGGTCAATAAAATAAATGGCTGGCCCTTTAAGACATAAATCGTGATTTATCCAGACTGGGAGCCGGCTCATCCACTTGTAGCACGGCATACAAATCCGAGATATTAAAATTCAAATTACATTTCAAACTCTGGTATGAGGGTGAAGACAGCACAGAAGCAGCTGAGAGCGGCTGTAAAACACAGACCTGGCAGCCATTACAGTTATCTCAGGTCTGCAGTTATCTCTTTTAGGAAAAGATGGGTTGACTTAAGATGAAGTCACTGTGGTCTAGTTTTTACTTGCAGAGACAGATGATAATCACCTTTGAGAAACTCTAATCTCATCGCTGTTTGCTTTGGTGGGGAAAGCCCAGGAGGACTGCAGGGAGAGTGAGGAGCTGGCAGCGTCCTCCTCCTGACTGGCTGGCGACCCGTGGCAGGATACTGTGTCAGACGTGACGAGGGTGTAGAGAGGCAATGTGCTGGATTTCATGCCTGGCAGCTGCCTCTGTGCCCAGTACTTTCCACCACACTGATAATTATTTCGATTATATATTCAAGGACATATTGGAGGACTAAATGATGCATCTATGTGAGTGTTTTGAAGCTCACGGTCATCAGTTTCAGACAGTTGATTTAATCTGGACGCACTCAGCTTTACAGCCCCGTGATTAACGTCTAAGAATGCTCATAGAATTTTGTGACTGTCCATCCTTCCACTCCACAGATTCACAATTTTCAAAGACTAATTTCACATTGTAAAATCAGTCTGCGCAGCGTTCACGTTGCGTTCAGTCATCCAACTGCCTGAAACAGCAGCACTGATTGTTTTGAAGTATGAGGCATGGTTGTTTTTTTTGTCGACCAAAGGAAAAAAGTGGCAGTGGGAATGGTTAATCGCCTTAAGATAAATTAGCCCCGTCTTTTTTCCCCTCTCGCCACATTGCCTTTTTCTTGTTGTTGTGTTGTACGACTAATTCGATTTACCCTGCTCAGCACAACCCATTCCATTTACAGCCTTTGACGGAGGTGGGAGAGAGAAAAGAGAAGGCAGGGGGGAGGAGGGGGAGGAGAGGCATGGAGAAAGAGTGACGCAAAAGGGAAAATAAATTAGTGTATGTTCAATGTAGAAAACGTTTGAAGCAGCTGTATTCGAAGTACAAGAAATAAACACTCTGTGACTTTGTGCAAATCAGTACATCTGTAGTTTGCAGGAAGAAAGAAAGGAAGATCAGACATCCAGCATGTATAAATGACTTTAACCCCCTAACAGCTCCTTTTTACTTTGTCATATAAAATATACAGTTTTATAAGTATTGGTTTCTTTCAGTGATCCCTTAAATATGTGATGTGTTAGTAGCATTTATTCATGGACAGCCACTGTTTTGATTTGTTGTAAGAACTAGATTTTCATTTGCTGTCCATCATTCGTCCCTTTGTGTTGTAGGAAACCGACTCATTCAAGTCCACTAACAAGATCTGCCGCCAGCTGATTTACCACCTGACCCCTCACTCCAAGTGGACGAGACAGAGCGTGCCCAGGAGGAAGTCTCAGGCCTGGTGAGTGTGTCCTCTTTGCTGCTGCCATCACTCTGAAGAAGGACAGTCCCTGTGACAGTAAACACATCCTCACCATAAGCATCAACGCAACTCATTAATCTCCGCACAGCCTCTCTGAAATACTAGTCGGACATTGAGGAAGTCCTCTTACAGTTATTTTTACAGGATTTTCGCGGTTCTACACCCACAAATTACAATTTGTTTTAAAAACAGAATTGTTGATAATTTATCACAAAAATAAGTTTATTCTCATTTGTTTGTGTTAATTTATGTTTTATTCCTCTTTATTTACAGTATCTTTGAGGTGTAAAACACACTGCCAACCATACAGGAGATTTGATCCTCTGTTTTATAATCGAGAGTCTGACCATCTTGCTGAAATTGAGTGACTGTTGAACCATCTGCATCGTTCACATTTACAATTTTTGTACTCAACTTTGTTGATTTAATCCAAAACATGTTTAGTCACACGGCTGAACTGTAAGATGTAATTTTATGTTTGAAAAGTAATTGGAAGAACCTACAGCAGATGAAAAGTTGATCCAGTTATATTACTGCAGTAATGTTAAGTTGAGGTCAGACGTTGACCGTTGCAGAGGTTGGAAGCGGGCATCGTTGCTTCATTACACACACACACACACACACACATTCATTTGTGATGAATTACAGATGTGCTTTAAATATTTCACGTATAATAGACTTATTTTTATTTGTGCATTTTATTTAACTGTAGTCAGTTTATACTTTAGGGTAATCAAATCATCAACTTGTGTTACAGTGTCTCCCTAGGATGATCGGTCCATTTTCACACTTGCCCCTCAGCAGTAAATACAGTTTCCCGCCTCACACCATCTTTAAACACCGCCCATCACAAGTGTGATGTGTCATTAGAGATTCTAATGTGTTTTTCTACGTCTACGAAGTGTCTCCAAGAATTATCGGGAGCGAACAAGAAACTAATACAGACACTAAGATGAGGTGCGTAACTGAGCCGTCTGGGCCAGATTCGAACTTTAACTTCCACCGAACTGCAAGCTGTCAGATACTGCTCCGTGCTTGAGTGAAACAAAGAGAGAGCAACAGAAAGATGCTGATTGTAGCGACTGTAGACATACCGCGCAAGCAAATAACGATGCTCTTCAACTCAAATTAAGTAACGGGTACATTTGTGGAGACGTTGTGAAAAGAAGATCTCTGATAATGATCATGAGGTTCCCTCTCCCTGAGCAATTAACCCAGATTGAAAGATTGTTTTGACAGCTCGACTTAACTTCCCGCCCCAGTCTCTGGGTTGCAGTATTTTCGAAATAACACTCAACAGAACAACAAGGCGGACTCTCCCAGTGTGCTCATTAGCGAGCTCTGTCTCTCTGCCAGAATCTACTGCAACAATCCAGTAGCAGCACTTATGGTTTCTTTTCTCAGTGAATATAATAACAAATGAATATCTTAGGATCAAATGAAGCATTAGGACACAGTTGACGTGGTTTCACATGTTCCTCTGATATTGATCTTTTCATTAAAGCTCTCTCTCTATTCTCCTCTCCCCCCCTCACCTTTCGGCTCCCCCTTCCCTCCTCATCCCTTCCATTTCTCCCATTTTAAAATCCCTTCCTCGCATTGATTTTCTTCCTCCCCTCTTTTCCTGTGGGATTTTTTATTTTGTGTGTCCATTTTGCTCAACAGTAGCCACACAGAGCGGTTCTGCAGTTTGAGTTCCAGGCTCTGGGGAAACGCTCTATCAGACGGAGAGAGGAAAAAAAAAAGGGGGGGGGGGGGGGGGGGAATCACTGCAAGGTTGCCGATTAGAAGTCACGCATTTCCCTCTTTCTTTCCGCCTCGCTTTAAATCGATCGTGAATTTGATCTCTTCATATTTAGGAATGCAAAAGCTATCATATAGCCGTTATTGCATTCTTAAATTCTTCAAGTGATATTGAAAAGTCTATTTGATCAATCTAGAAATGAGCTGCAGCCTGCTCTCCAACCAGAATGGTTTTCATGGACTATATGCTTGGTTGCAAATATTCAAGAGATAACACATAAACCATGTTTCAAGCTTTATTACTCCAAACCCGAGCTGCTTTTATAACACTGTAACTGCAAAATTGTGTCACACTTTATATATTATCAAGGCAATTACATTTTTTTTCTCTGCAGCCATGAGCCAGGTTTCTAAGAAGCACAGTATTGCCGAGTCCCCGGTAGAGTTTTTCATGTTATTGTACTTGGTAGTTTCAGATTAATCAAGCTCATATTTTTTTATGATGATAAAAATTGCCCCTGCCGCACATTTGGATGAGATCGGACTCCGATTGCAGATAATATTTCATTGCTTGTCTTTACTGCGAGGCATGATATTGATGTGAGGCTCTTACAGCAGCTATTACAGATGTCTTCAGTACAAATAACTGTGGTTCAGGGAGACGACTGAATTCTTGTATTCAGTGTTCAGTTTTACTGACTACTGAGCCAAATCCAAGTGCATGTGGCATTGTTTTGTTTTATTTGAGTCAGCATAGAATATTAAGCAGAATAGCTGACAGGATTTAGTTAGTTGCTAATATTTAGTCGTGCAGGTCGTGCCGACTGATAAGAGTGAAGCGAGGCAGCTGTTTGGGCAGATGTAACCAGCTGTGGATGAGCTTTGATAGTCTGTCTGAGTCCTGATATTTGACCCAGACCTAACGTGCCTTTCCTCCCACAGCTGTCCAAAAGACAATTCAATGCTTTTATTTATCTGCATATAAAGCGTAATACTTATTGAAACAGGGCTATTGGAGTTGTAGCAAACAGTACATTGCCAGCTTGATTTGAAGAGTTGAGCACAATGAAATAATAACACGTCCCTTAGATAAGAGGCAGAGGCTAAAACAGTCGCTGCTCTGCTGATCTCACAAAATCTGGTAACATTTAATGTCTGAACATTATATATTTAATGTTGCACATTTCAAACATGGTGAAATACAACGGCAACATTCACCAATAAGATGAACCACATGGCCTCATCTGCTGAAATTCTAACATAAGAATGAAAAGCAAGAAGACAAGAAAGCCATCAAACAGAAATGGCTGCAGCCAAACCCTCCGACAACGGACAACTGGACTGCAATTGTCAGCAAGATTGGAAGAAATTGACCTTTAATCTTTACATTCTTCACACAACTACTTCCACCACTTTTCACATTTACAGCCAAGTGCAACGTCAGCCTCTTTATTGATGCCCATTCGTAACAGCTATAAACACTTTAGCCTTCGGACAACACTTGATAAGAACTAGTTTGATTGAAGCATACCGACGCCTAGAATCCTGATAAGACAGCAGACAACGTTGCAGCCCAAACTTGCAGATTTGCACTCGATAAGATGCATCAGATCCCTCTCTTCACTCGAGATTCATGCTCCTCTCATTGTTTAAGTTTAGAGGAATAATTACACCCAATATAATCTAATACATCTCTGAACACACAGTTTTACTTATCCTCCCCACTTCAACAAGATAAACCACCTTTTTCCCCATCTTTGCTCTTACGCCGTCCTCTCATTTCTGAATCACACCCCAGCAAGCATTAGCCAGTGAAAAGCCATCTTGGCTACAACTATATTTGGTTGAGCAGTGAAACTTTGTTTAGACGTCTGTGTAGTAGTCAGGATGCTTGTGACCGCTTTCACAACTGCATTTCAACAGTATTTCTCGTCCAGATTCCTAGACGGCTTTTCACCGGCTAATCACCAGAGAATTGCTCGCTGGGACTCTCTCTCCAGTTTCTCCCTGCTGCCGCTAATTTGCTCTAATCTTTGAAGAAATCCCCTCTACCTCGCTTCCTCGCTGTTATTTTGAGCCCTTCTCCACAACAGGATCCTTCCAGAGCCAAAGCAATACAAACGCGCTACATCTTCCACCTTTGATGTACTTTAAAACCTGACCGTTTGTTTTTATTTATTTGTTTGTGTGACCATATTTTTGTTGCTTGTTCTAGAGTAGAGGAAAAGACTCCCTCAATTCCATACATAAAGCATTTCAGATGGAGATGAAAGTGTTGCGAGTCATTAATGAAGTTATAACAATAACATACATTTAAATAGAGGTAAAACTTCTTATTTAAATGTAGTTTAAGTTGCCTAAATATTGTATGAACAAAAGAGGAAAATGTGCTTTTTTTGATCATGTGGGAGAGATTTCTAGATGTGTGGCTCTATGGATCGCAGGGTCGGCATGCCGGTTGGTCTAGACTGAAATATCTCAACAACTAGTTGATGGGATTTTGCACATTCATGGTTTCCAGACAATGCATCTCACCAATTCTCTGAACTTGAATGCCAGTCTGAGGTTTGTGGCTCGGGGTGAAATGTCTCGCTATCTATTGAATAGATTGCTCAGGAGAAGGTATGTCCGTTCCAAAGTTCATGGCAGTGTTTGGAAGAAATACCTTGTGCCAGTCTACCACTGCTCTTACCTCGAGGGATGCCCCCACAATAATAATAATACTAATAATAATAATAATAATAATAAGCCATCGCCTACAACTTGATTCAACCCGTCTTTCACTCAGCTGCTGTCTGGAACAAATAACCAGATCATTCTTTCTTGATGCATTTACTGTACATGTGGGATCCGTACCCTGAGCCATGTGTCACATGCCTTTGACACGTGTATGACCTATATTTCTGGAGCAGAGTCAACCCCCTGAGGTGGGCACTGGAAGGCCGAACAGACTCTGACTCAGCAGGCCTGACCTCTCACCTACAAGGTCGACTCCTAAGGCAAGGGCAAAAATCTGACAACACGGGGAAAGAATATTTGGGAAATGAGAGTTTGCATTTTTGAGTACACAATCCCAGATGTCTGTTTTTTTTTAAAAGGTTTTGATTTCTCTGCTTATATTTCCATTCAGAGACTAAGTATTCCACTTGACTGCCAGCTGCACTCAGTCTCCTCAATCTGCTTTCTAGTTGACCTCCATTTTTAATAGACTTAAAGATCCAGCCACCACCCTCGTC